CCAAATAAAAAATACATACGCTCACATCAGGGTAGACATGGACAAATCAGTCTTTAGCATGAAGTTTATCGAAATATTATAAATATTAAATTTGGTTATATAAGGATTTCCATTTCATGGTACGTAATTAGATTCCCAGATAAAAATATTGTCTGTTTACATCTGCAATTCCAAATATCTTAGGTATTACAAGAAATTTATGATATAAAGTTTACTGATTTTTATCAAGAAATAACATATCCAGTTTATATAAGTATTCCTGTGTTAAAATTAGTGATGACTTTTTATGGATTTTTCAATAAAAGATGGATCTGTAATTACATGAAGATTCGTACTCAATTGAAAACAGATAATAAACGGATTTCCTGAATTATCTGGAATTCTAAATATGCATTGGACAGAACAAGATTTGCAGACAAGAATTGGCATGGAATATATCTGGGACTCCAAATATTGGAACATAACGAAATTTCCGTGCAACAAATTCGACTTGAATTATCTGGAATTCCAAATATACGTCGTACAGAATGGGATTTGTAGATAAGAGTTGACATGGAACTTATCTGGAACTCCAAATGTATTTTGGATATAACAGGATTTCTAGTGCAAGAAACCACATTTAATCATAAAATTCATATAAAATTGTCCAAATTCATATACGGAAATGCTACGGAATTTTAGCAGGAAAGCTAATAAATTATATTAATTTATAAGGTTAAATTTGTATAAATGTACCCAGATAGCAAATGTTTGCAGTTTTTTAGCAGACTCTTAGCAGGTTCGAGCAGAAAAATCAACTGCATCCGCATTAGGCTTGTGTTAACATCGCCTGTCGACATAATGTGAAGGCAAATTGTTGGCAAAAACTGAGCAGATCCTGCCGACATCTGACGCTTGCAGATTTTGTTACGTTTTTTTCTAGCAGTTTGTCAACAGTATTATGTACATCTAGTTCTGTAACAATTCTGTTATTTTGTTGGCATAATGTGTAGCAGACATTTAAAAAATCTGCTTTTTACAGACTTGGCTATCTGGAGTATATGAAGACTATAATTGTTTCTAGGTCCATATTCGTAGATCCATCCTAGATTAATCCACAATGGATTCTTATTTCAGGCGAACTAGATTTTGAATCAATCGGATTTATTAAATCATAGTTTGAGAATCATTTTTCAAATAAAAGACTAATTTAAACCTAGCTCTAATCTGATCTCAGGTTGAATCACGTACGATTATGAATACAATCTCCAAAGTAATTTTCGACTCGCTGTGTCTGAATCTGCTGAAATATGTTGATTAACTTAAATTGAAATCTTATCAATTACATTTAAATTGAGCCTGAATATATAAGATGTTATCATTGATGATATTCAAAGCTATAATGAAAATAACGAATGAGATGTCCACATGTAGTGTATAATTCAAGGATATTTATTTATGATTCAGAAACCAACATCGAGAACATAATAGTAACATCAGTTTAACATTGTGCTTTAAAATAGCGTATATTCAGTCAGAGATGGGCACGTATTTGAAATACTTTTATTTAAAATACACTATTTGCAATACAAGCGTATTTTGTATTTTTTATTTTAGCGGATCACATAAAAGTATTACGTATTTTGTATTTAAAATCGAAAGATTGAAAGCTTTTTGTATCATGTAATTCAAATAATAAGATTGATTATCATTAGTATTTAAAATACAAAATACAAAATACTTTCATAATTTTTGTTATTAATACTGAAATATAAAATACAAAATACTTTTATATGCTCCCATAAAATACAAAATACAAAATATTTTCATGTACTCTGAACAAACACAAAATACAAAATATAATTGTCTTACCAATACTGTTTTTCAAATAAAAGTATTTCAAATACATGCCCAGCCCTGTATTTAGTTTACCTTGACAAATTTGATTAAGATGTAAAACTTATCTTTTAGTAGCTTTAATTTCTACCACAAATACTCGCTCATCTTAGTCTTGGTTGTCTTTGCTCTTATTTTCCTTATATGCTGTAGTTGGTAATCACACAATAATAGTATTCGCAATGTTTGTAAGACCTTTTACAAGAGAGATCGATTACTTAATATAATTACGAGATCGCATCGCTCTTATTCACAAAACAAACGTTAAGAAAGTGAACAACCGAACAACACGATGCTCACATCATCAATAAACTCCATTGTCAAATTCAGCTGTCACTAAATTCATTCACTTGAATCACAGTTCGATAAGAGTTATCTCGATAAGAATTAATCGCTAGATGTCGCGCGCGGCACATCGATGATCGACATGTCTTTTTATACTACCCAGCAATATTTCATGCAGCCTATGATACACGCAGTCACATATACGTGTCAATTTTCGTACAACGAATTCGTCGCGATAAAGCGTCTAAATCTAATTCTAAGAACTCGACGTTGTATGTTCGTGAAAATTACGTGTTTGGGAACTATTATTTCGTACGTTCGGGTTGCAAAGCTTTCATATCAAACAAATGTTGTCACGACTTGACAGCTGAGACGCCATGTTATACTAAGAAATGATAAAAAATATATCGATTTTGAAATTTTTGATCATTCTCAGCGTAGACTCCACTTCACAAACACGTATTAATGCGTATACTTCAATCCTGGAAAAGTATTTTCGAATCCGTGAAAGAGAAAAAGAGTATTCATTATACAAAAATTATACGTGTTTAGTCGGTAATACAGACGTCTTTACAGATCCTCTTCCTATCCCACTGATTCATTATGCATTAGCCCGATAAGAATTATCTGTTCTAATAAAATATTTCCAGTTTTTAAAATATAAGAATAAGAAAAGACATTTTTCAATATATACCTACAGAATATTAAATTATTTCACAGGGTGTCTAAAGATATTTCAATATCTATAGGATATATCCGTATGATATATTTGGAATATTTTTGCTGTGTAGATAAGTGTGTGTAATAAAAAATTATTTATAAATTTTTATTTTAAGCAATAAGTTGTGAAATATAATAAAGGTTTAAATATGGCCAATTGCGCAGATAACTATAATATATCTCATATATATATAGCACAGAACGTTGAAAGAATATTGCTGAGATGTTGCAATGTCGAATGTTGAAGTGTCAATGTTTTATCAATGTTGTATCTATAATATTGATTCTTCTACATTGATTGTTAATATTGCTGCAACATTGAAACAACATTGAACAAGTTGAATCACAATTTAAGTTGAATTTTTATTGATTTTTTCACATTGATTGTTAATGTTGCTGCAACGTTGAAACGACATTGACGTAAATTACATATATGTATATCAAAGCTTATTTTATTTTGTAAAAAATTAACAAAAATTAAATGTCATGTAAATAGAAAATTTGTATCACTTTTAGGCTCGGTTACACCAACGTCACTTTGACTTTATGCAAAACTTAAAACTCTCTCTGTCTCGTTTTAAAGCGAAAGAAAGACAGAGATAGAAAGAGTTTTAAGCAAAGTATAAGACAATGCTCGCACGTATGATATTATTTGTGTTTGACCGGTTTGATGCGCAATGTCGACTCATGGTCTTTCTACACACACACATATATATATATATATATATGTCATAGTTATACATCACTAACATTTAGTATTCGTGGATCGAAGTTGCAGTTCCCATATAATTGCAAAGGTTCAGCACCGCTGGATAGCGTACATGTACAAGATTGGATGAGTGATCACCCCTTAGAAAAATAAGAAAATTAACTCCCAAATAAGGGGAAAGCGTTTTTTTCTCAATTATAATTTTATCGTGTGTGTTCTGGAATATGATGTTAATCAATAATACCTACTTATTTTAATAATAAAATTGAATTAATATGCGAAACATTTTTTATGTCTCACAGACGTTGCAATTCAACGAACATTAGATGTTTCTGCAACGTCTCTTTAACATTGAATCTACATTTCGCGATGTTATTGTAATGTTCACAATGTTGCAAATCAGCGTGTCTGATATCGATTCAACGTGTGCTGTATGGGTATGTCTATACGTTTAAATTTAAGCAATCACCTGTGAGTATATTAGTAATTAGCATGCTGAAGTACGCGTGAGTCATCACTGCAGCTCATCATAATTAGCTATATTTAAATCCTTACTATTTCGAAAATTCTATTAGTTAAAGTAAAAATGTATCACCGATGTTTTTACTTAATCTTTTGAGAACTTTCTTGCTATAATATATTGATTTGCAAATTTGGAGATATCATATAAGGTTTTATTAAAGTTAGAAAACAAACCAGAAGTGTTAAGCAATAATTTTGTTAGCTTAATTTTTGTTTTTTATATTTTGAATCGGTTTCACGTATTAAAGTCCAGTATCGTTTAGTCGTCTAGTGTTCCGTCTTAATATGTTCCTTATATAATAACATTTTTTAATTATCATCAAATCCTGGTAAAACCGTCCGCTTTATTCATTACTTGTTGTAAATCGGAGAAAGAAATGTTTGAAGATTGACATCCTATATCTTAAAAATTCGATCTAACGGAATTTTTCTGGCAGTGGATTCAAAATCAGCGCCTCAAAAAATATGTATATTAAAAAAATATGTTGTTTCTTCTTTTTTGCACTAAAAATTATTCAAAATGTGTAAATTCTAGTATTATTTGTATTGGTTACGCATAAATTTTTCAAAAGGACATAAAGATATAATTCTCAAAATTAGTACAATTTTAAGGATTATTTCTTTGCTCAGAATTATTTACGTACGTACGAATAAATTTCTTTCCTTAATATGCATTATACGATGGAAAAAATCAATTGCGAGGTACTCCACATAAACAGTTTTTATCACATGATTTAAATTCTCCCCTAATGTGCGTGTATAATATAACCCAACAACCTGTGCACGCATTTGTATATGCATGATTGCGAATATTAGTATTCTGACGTCCTGTACGAACCATCAGTCTGATAGTGACTGCTGAGGAGAGACAAGCGGATTTCGTGGTTCCGAGTAGCACGCTCCACCTTCGATATCTTTGAGCACGTTCGCATCATCTCACAAGATCTAGGTCAACGTTAAATTTGAGTGTACGTATGTTTACATTAATAAAGTTATTAATATTTTTACTATAGCGATTATATTTTTCATTGTGAATGTAATATATAACAATTTTGTGTATGCTAAATTTTTTTTATTGTAAATCTGTGCGTGATTTACTTCGATGCACAACAAATTATTCTTTATATATATTAGAAGATTATTTGTTAAAAAATTATAAACAAATTTAAGTACATTAATATTACTTTTGTCAATAAGGTAATGACATTTTATTCACGAATATAATTTTGCGTGGATTAATTTCAAAATCTGAAATTATTATCTCTTTATCGCGAAATTTTGTAAACAGTTGATAGGACACGTCCCGTTTTACATGTATTGACATTTTACATATTTTTACTCCCAGAACATTGCATCGCTTGCGTACAAGAATCAAATTTTTTTAAATCTTAAAAAAATCTGTGAAGTGTAAATGCTTACCTCTCACGCAATGACGTGTTCTTGCCACGGTATACGGCATTAGGCATTCCGGTTCAATAACGCTATTCCAGCGTACCAATAATTATCGTCATATATGTATATATTTATATGTAAGTATATATATACATATATATTACGCTCTCTGCGCTACAGCCATTTTGTAAAGTGACTGTTAGAAGTTATTTTTTTTTATTTTCGTTTCATTTATTTGTTACAAGCAAATATTAAAAATATTCAATTAATTAATTTAAATTAAAGTAATGAATTGTCAGTAATCCACCATTTAACTAATATATTCTTTATAGACATTAGTATATCCAATGTATCCTGGCAAAATTACAATTTTCAAGAGCTACGGAAATATAACTATACGTTATATCCTTCTTACTTCCCGTTCGTTACGCACTGCAGTGTGCGATCAGCTCGGCGAAGTGGACTAGGGGGGATGCGCAGTTTAGATTCTCATCGCAGTGAATGAGATTGTGACGCATTCGCTGCGCTTTTGCGTACCTTTTTCTTTTAGTCATATTTGGGAATTTCTCAGTATCGGGACATTTTTGAATCAGTTATCTCTGAATCGTGTATCCGCGCGTGATTTAATATCCTTGTATGTGACGTAATATGTTTTCGATAAGCTTGTTAAACTAGCTATTTCATTTTCTTATCGGAAAAACGGAGTGAAAAAGTTAAATTATTAATAATTGTTTAGTTACATTTTAAAAAAAGATCCAAACATATCGATATTTATTAAGTTTCCATTTTATATTACTATTTATGAAAAATTCAGCAGAGACATTAAAATTTAATTATAAATTACAAAGTTAAAAGTAAAAATTAAGAATCCTGAATTAAAAATTAAGAAGTAAAAATTAAATTTTCAAAATTTAATTCTAAAATTTAATTCAAAATTCAAAACTTTTAATTTTTGTTGCCCAATACATTCAATTCATCCTTTGAGATCCGCCAGTAGCGTAATATCGTCACATAAGAACAATCTGTCTTATTGATATAAATATTAATGAATTGCATTCATTGTATTATTTTTCAAAATCATTACAATTTTATCACTGTTTTCAAATAATATTTTTGAATGGATTTTGAGAAACATTAAATTTTTTCGCTATTCATACTTCACGTGTACATTTTCGTAGTCTTGTCAATATTGGAAATTACAAGGGATGAACGATTTTGTAGAAAGATTTTGAGAAGTATCTTAAAATTTAACTAAATACAAATTTGAAAATAATTTTGTTGACAATGAAAATAATTACGTAGGAATTTCAAGCATTTCAAGATGGGCAATGCTGCAAAAAAGTTTGACATCCGATGATCATCAATTTGATAGTTTTACACAATTATTTCGATGATCCAACAAAATTATTTTCTTCTTTCTGGGTATAAAAAAATATTGCATAAAAACAGACCACATTACGATTCCTAATAGCCAGACAATACGTAAAAAATAAAACCTCATATCCACGTTTACGTAAAGAATAAAACCTCATATCCATGTTTATATTTGTTATCGAAAAATATAAAGACGAATAATAATGTAAAAAATATGATAAAGTATATCTTTATATTTATTCTATGCTTCGCGTGTCACGACACTTATACCGTCATGACAGTTTCCGTCACGACAGTTTCTATCGGTTAAATTGATAATAATCATGATTAGCGATAAACGATGAAACGTTTAGGTGCGTCGTAATCGCCCAGACTGCATCCGATTATAATAGACCTATCCTACCCTGATAGTGCTGATCGACATAATTAAGTACGTCATCAAGTTCAAGAAACAAGTTCGATAATAATCTTTAATAATCACTGAGAAAAAATTTTTTTGTATTTTTTGTTATTATAATTTATAATATATTAGATATTATCATAATTATGATTATTATCTACAGATTATTATATAGATATTATGGTTATTATTACTAATATTATAGCAGTAATAATCATAATTATAAGGCCCTGCGTACAATCCCAGTTAGAAATGATAATAGAATCGACATCGAATCGATGTCGATTCGATGTCGATTCTATTATCATTTTTTACTAGGATAGAAGGAATAAGGAATTAGGAATAAAGAATAAACGATTTCAACCTATCAGAAACAGTATATCCACGATTTTTGAGAAGTTAAAATCGTTAATTCTTTATTCCTAATTCCTTATTCTTTCTATTGTGCGCAGAGCCTAAGTGATATGTAATTATATTAGTTGCAAATATCAAAAATTCTTCTCTCAATAGCATATTGGCGCTTATGCAAACTATACGTATATCGGAAACTGTAGAAAGCAATAAAAAATGTAATTTCTTATACAAAACTAATAGTTGTATAATGGTAAACAATTTTCCATTGAAGAATTTAAACGACGGAAAATAAAGATAACAGTTTAAAACTACAGAAAGTTTTTCTTGATCATAATAAAAAAAGATAATTTAATTCTGTTTAGATTTGCACAAAAAAATTAATGTAATAGTTGTTTTTTCGTTGTGTGAAGTTCACTTCAAAAGCTTTAAAAATAATGTATGTACTATCATAATTGCCGTTTGAAGTCCATAACGCCCGAAACGTTCTGAATATTTCGTATATCACGAAGTGACACGAAACCGCACTTTATTTCACTTTTGAATTTGCTTATCTCTCCGAAAGAACGACAAACAAGTGGCTTTATAGTTTAAGCAATGGAAGAGATAATCCTAGTGACAAATAACAAGGGAACCGAAATCGAATCGATGTCGAAATCATCAAATTGATGTCGAATCGATGTCGAAATCGGCTTACTCTTCTGGTAGCAATTGCTACGTCATTTTGTCGTTATTTTGACGTTAGCTTGCTACCAGGGTCCGATTCTTCAAAGTTTCATATTAGTCGTAACACGTTGCAATTTGATTTGGTTCTCACTATATATTACATACAAAAAAAAAAAATAAATTAATGTATGTACATTTCAAAAATATGGAGATTTTAATGTAATTTTCGCTTATACCTAAATATCGCAAAATTACATTATTTAAACTATATTATGTAAATTAGAATAATATATTTCTTTTTAGAAAGAAAAAATATTGAAAGCAGATTTGAGAGATACAGAGAGGCGCATATTTTAAATCTTCATTAAAAATTTATATCCTTTACGTTTTAGAGTTAGACGAAAACAAGCAGACAAGCGGTTTTGATAACTTGATAATGGTGATTTATATAATGAATGACGATCGTTGGTGCGGTCATTAGGTCCAGACCACGTGAATTAAATATATATATATAGTTGTGAGGCGATCTTGTTTGCATCCCTCGGGAGGAAAGTTCAAGAGACAAGTTCGTCAACGGGCTTTGATGACCCACATCGCACAGTTACAGTCTCTTTCAGGGCGCGTGCACTCTCGCTTTCGCGATCGACCTGAATTGAAACGACCCAAACTGAGCCAAGGTCGTAAATTGTAGTTCGAATCTCTGAATTAGATGTATCCGCTGAAAGATGAGGACTTGGTCATCTGTCGGCATCCCCATCATTCTCTGATGCACTCCGACAAATGAGGATACGTAAAAATACACGCGGGATATAATACTTTCGTGTATTTTACGGATATTCAACAATATTAAATAGTAATAAATGGGTGATTCACACTTAGTTGTTGGCTCTTCATAGTGAAAGGCTTCTTTCACTATGAAGAGCCATTATAAATTCTGGCTGCGAATACTAAACAGAATCTTTAACCAGTTGCTTAATCGAGAAATTGTACAAATATGCTAACTTGTGTTATATAATTAAGTTGAGTTGCATTATATAGCGAGAATATTTTGATCCTATCATTACGAAAAGACTGAATCAATAGTAGCCTTGACGAAGAGTTTAAAATTTACGGTCAAGCATTAATTCTGAACGAACGTTTAACTGCGCGAATGGCTCTTTTTATTTGAAAGTCGCTCGCGGGTTGAGATTCCTGGCAGTATGGACATTCAATCAAGACGAAGGTCGCTAATTATCTTTCTTATTTGGCGATGTCTAATAAAACCTTTGTCGAAACATATCGTCAGAATTTTTTTAATCCCGTATAAAAATATACTACTAGTCACTAATGCAATAAGTAAATTCGACAAGTAGTGTCACTAGTAATGCACCAAAAAAAAAATAATTTTAATATTAGCAGAAACCGCTAAATCTTAGAGGATTTTATTCTTATATATGGCTTCAAGAGGAATCTTCTAAAATCAAGAGAAAAATATGCTAAGCACAATATTCTTACAGTTAGAGTATTTTCATTTTGCATCTGCAGTAAAAATCTTGCTGTTCTTAATATGAATTTCCTCTTGTACACAGCTTAATATTCTTATAGTTAGAGTAATTTCGTCTTGCATCTGCAGTACGAATTTTACTATTCTTAATATCAATTTCCTCTTGTATATAGATTATTTAATATTGTTTTGAGGGATATTATATATACTTTTGAGAAACTTTAATTAAAGAGTATTTACTTCAAAGATACCACAGGATTTGACGTCTATCGCCATGTTGTGATCCATTGTTGTCAATATTTCATGAACGGTAAGGTTAGCATTAGCAATGGATTACGACATAACGACGATAACTCGCAAACCCTTTGGCATCTTTGAAGATGTTATCTTTACTGTATTTTTTTTCCAAATAAAAATACCTGCATCATATCGATAACAAACAATGCACTGCCCCTCACAGCACTGGATATTACATTAAGATTATAGGATGGTTACAATCTTACATAGTTTTGTGGAAAGGTTACTGGTGTATGCCACTAACCTTACAATGTAATCTTACTTTATAATATTGTTGGAAGGTTAAGGGAATCTTATGTTAATATTTCAGCAACCTTATATGAACCTTACATTTTAATATTGTTGGAAGGTTAATGGAATCTTGTGTCAATATTTCAGCAACTTTGTATGAACCTTACATTTTAATATTGTTGAAAGGTTAATGGAATCTTGTGTCAATATTTCAGCAACTTTGTATGAACCTTACATTTTAATATTGTTGAAAGGTTAATGGAATCTTGTGTCAATATTTCAGCAACTTTTTATGAACCTTATATTTTAATATTGTTGGAAGGTTAATGGGATCTTATGTCAATGGGCACGTTCAAGTTGACAAAGCGGCTAGCCTGCTCACCGAGCAAATGAACATAATTGGTTATTACTTATAGATCCAACCAATCATATTCGATTGCTCGGCAAGCGTATCTATAATTGAAGAGATGTATCATAGCTATACACCCATGATTATACAGGTGTTCGTGGATCATTGAAGTGCAGCGGTTTCCAGACGATTTCAGAAGTCAAGGATAGTAAATGGCGATATGCAATCGGATGGATGACCGCTTCGAAGTACTATGAAATTAAAAGATTCACTTCAGAAATGATTTATATTCACTTCAGAAATGATTTATATTAAAAAAACAAAAAAAAGGAATCAATAAACAAAACGACACTGAAATGTTATCCGAATCATACTTTCCGTTATTAAACATATCGTCCTCTACATAATTCCAGAACTTTCTATCGCTGACTCAGTGAATGTATATAAACTGTCAGAATTGTACAGACGTTAATATAACTGTTTTAGCATTGATTGAGATCACATGAATTCTACACGTTCTTGATTGCAAATCTTCTCATCTTCGACACAGGTATTCTATTAAAATATTTATTTATATTAAAAGCTATTGAGATTATTATTACCTTTTGACAATTAGTTAACTATATTTCTTAATTATTATACAATGTACGAAATTGAATCTGACTAAGTATTCCGATTATTTTATAAGACAACTATTTAATTTATTTTTTGACTAGATTATTTAATCATAATTTATTAAATTAAATCCGATTGAATAACTCTAATATTGCATAAGATAACCAATTTGTTCGATACAGGATGTACGTTATTAATTAGATTACAATTGTAGATATTTTTAATAGAAACTGGATCTGTTGTTGAACATATATCTGAAAATAATTGCTTAAATATTGTTATAAGACTACTATATTGCGTTTTGTTTTTTTTTGTTACTTATTTTTTAATTATAATTTAGTAAATTAAATCCGATTGATTAATTTCTAATATTTTATATGATAACTAATGTGTTTAATACACGATGTATTGTATTAATTAAATCGCAATTGTATATATTATCTAATAGAAACTGGAATTTTTGTGTGGACATACATCGAGAGAAATTGCTTACATATTGTTCATGGTATACAGTTCAAGATCTACTCAGACTAACTAACTGGTATGGAAACATTGCGTTTAAACGAGAATATACATCACATTCAGTAAGAATTGAGAAAGGGAGGGAAAAAAACTTTTGCGATTATATTATTGACGGAATTTTGTTAATAGCCAAAATAATACTTATATTGTAAGAATCTAATTTTAAGTCTTATCATGTTATAATTATGCGTAACACATTTAATTTATGCTAATACTGAAGGTCTCATTGAAGACCGAAACGTTATTAACGTATTTTATCAAATATAATAATTTTTAGCCAACGATATCAGGCGTTCGTGGTCATATGCCTTTATAATTATATTACTATGAAATTAGTTCCCAAATTCAGGGAAAAATTTTTTTTTAATCATAATTTTATGATATGTATTCTGAAATAAGATATTAATCATTAATAATACTTATTTTAGCAATATATATAAGGTAGGTTTATTAATTTCCGTTTAATGTTACAATCTTACAAGGTCCTTGGCACATTGTAGGAATATTAATACAACGTATCATGCAAGGTTTCTGGGATGTTAATGTAATCAGTTTGACGATCATTTTCATGTTACTGAGAGGTTAATGGTAGGTTTATTAATCTCCGTTAAATGTTATAATTTTACAATTTAAAGTTACTGTAACCTTATTTCAATGTTGATGTGCTGTGAGGAGCGTGATAAATAGTACTTACGCTCAAATGTGGGCCAGTACATCTCTAAGCTGATCGTTTCTAAGAATTCTTCTACTTCACTCATTATGAAACAACTCAAATTATAAATGATGTAACACAATACAACATGATGTAACACAATGACCGATGTATATTGTATACTATAATACACGCCAACGGCCAAAAAGCAACGACAGGCAGCGACACACATATTGCTTTTCATGTTACTCGTAAGAGGGCGTTCCGCTTTAAGTAAACGTATTCCTCTTAATACAAGAGGAAAACTGTTAGAATAATCTCACAATACATTTTTGATGAATAGTCCAGTGCACTGGAAGAGGAATACTCTTTCTGTAAAAGTTTCTGCTTAGAATATGAGGTTACCGGAAATTTCACTTTACAATTAGATTATCTTTTTTGGGGTGTGTAATAGTGGTGGAGAAAATTTCATTAAAATTTAATTAAACTGAAGTTTTAGTGTGAAAATAAAGTATTACTAATTAATGTCATATTTCAAAGGGGGTGATCCCGATTAACCACGGCTCGATTGGACACCACCAATCACAGCGACCGGTGCTTAGGAGCTTTGTAGTCTCAAGCGCTGTGAGTGGTTCGTGTCCAATTGAGCCGTGTCCAACTGGGTGCCACCCATTTCAAAGGATACACGACAAAATAAAAATAAAAAAAAGTTTCCTTTATTATGAATTCAAGAACTAATTTTATGATGCTCCTGTGGGGTCACCCATCCGAATCTGTACCTCCACTTAGCGTGCTTGACTTCTGTGATCGTACGGAAACTGCTCCTTTGAAGAACCATGACCACCTATAATGTTAATGGATGTATAGTTGTAACATATCTGGTCAAAAATATGTTGTGAAAGAGACCGAACACGTATAGGAAAAATAATTAGTGTTAAATATAATTGTAATGTACAAATGATGATACCTATAATAATAACTTGTTTTTAATAATACTGTAAAATATTATTTCTACTAGCTGAAATAATACTAATTGCTCTAATGACATATATGTACTTTTTACTCTAATAAACTTTTTATACCAAATATTACAATTACTAAAAATAGTTCTATGTTACGTCATATGTCGTCATACACTATTACAGCAGTAGTAACACTACTGGCTCAGCAGTGATACTATTGCATATCAGTAGTGATACTATTGAATATCAGTAGTAATACTACTGTAATAGCAGTGACATTAGGAGTAAGTATATTTTTATACGGGAATGATCTACGTGGTCTGATTTGGTTACGAGGTCTCTATTTGCAGATGTTTGCTGTCTTATTTGGCGCTGTCTTGCCAATCTTTTGGTCCCAAAGAATTGAGGCAAGCGTGTTGGTTGCCGATACTACTATGTCCAGGATGGTGGAGGTGAATGCCGGCGCTCCTTTCTGCGCTCTTTACAACGATCGTGGGGTAATCCAGAGAATGGTTCTCGGTGCGGACCCGAGAAAAGTTCGACAAATTTCTAGCAACCTCGTCACCGATCTGGAAGAAACCTGTAAGGCTTCGCGAGATAAAGGAAAGGTAAGATTCGTCGATTGTCTCCGAGTGTGTTTTATATTTTTGTAGGACCTACAAAAATATTAAATATAAAACTCAGCCTATAGGTTATGGCTAGGTTGGTTTTTAGCCGACATTATGGCGTCTATAAGTCGTCTTTTAGCCAATTTGGTATAATGTAAATAAAATTTAACTTTTCCAAAGACTTGGTGAATATAATTTTATTAATTATTTTTTAAATGTATTATATTAATGTAAAGAATATAATGCAATTAAATCAATCGAGTTTTTAAGAAATGTTACTGTTATATTATAAATAGTAATTTCTTAAAAACTTAGTCAATTAAATTCTATTATATTTTAATTGTATTATATTCTTTAACATATAATACATTTAAAGAATAATAGCCCAGACAGCACAAAATACTAAAAGATACCGAAAAGAGATCTTTTTTAAGTTGTCTTTTCGACAAAGCAAAAAGGTGTCTAAAAGACGACAAAAAGACATTGTTTTTAGATTGTCCTTTTAGCAAGACCAAAAAATGTCTATAAGACATCTTTTAGTTTAATTTTGTCGGAAAGACAACTTAAAAAAGATATATTTTCGTCATTTTTCTATGGTTGTCATTTTCGCAAAGCAAAAGATCGACTAAAAAATATCTTTTTGTATTGCCAAAAAGACAACATGAAAAAGATATCTTTCGTTATTTTGGTAGTTTTTATCACTCATTTGCGAGCAATACGCGAGATCGCCACCAGATGAACGTGATGGAGTTCAGTTTCTCGTGTTTGAAAATCATACGGGACAGAATAAAAGGTGCACCATTATAAGAAATTCGTGTTCTAATGAATATTAATTAAATATTTTTTTGTAATCGAGTCTCTAAAAAGGACTACGATGAAAGATAATGATTCTTGCACATAGGACACAACAAAGATTGCAGGAAATGGGACGTATATTGTCAGTCATGCAATTTTATTTCATTTTGTGTAAAAATTAATTTAGGAATTTGATGTTATTAAACGTTATATGTATCGAAATATAAAAACTAAAAGAAGTATTAAAGACAATTAAAAGATATCTGAAGAAGTCATCTTTTAGTTATCATATGGATAAGATGACTAGCAGTGCGACATATGTCGTCTTTTAGTTATCTTTTCGACGACTATATTCTTTCACTAAAAGATATCTTTATAACAATTTAGTCGTCTTTTAGTCATATTTTACACGACTTTGTGCTCTCTGGGAACATTACCCTTACGGAAAAGAATCACTGACCAAATATTGTAATCCGTATGATTACTAATAATCCCGTGCGAAATTACTATACACAACGGATCATATGCGTGCAGTTAGAGTAATACAAATATTGAAATCAGTAAATTTTTGTAATAGAAGGATTACGTGCCGATAATAATGTTACAGAGTGGATTACACGCATGTAATTATTATAATACAAAAACTACAATAGGTAAATTACTAATAACAGGAAGATTATGCATCCATGAATAATATATTAACCTTTAAACTGTAACGTCTCATCGGACATACATCAAAATGAGTATAGAAGAACCAGGATTGGGAAGTAACGCGTTACTTGTAACGAAAATGACCGCGTCACTCTTCCCATACAGTACAGAAGATTGAAGCAATATTGCTGCAATGTTACAATATTGCAGATTGCAATGTAATAAATTGTATCGTTACTTTTGTATAGGTCACGGCCGTCGCGGACAATAAGATTATAGATACTAAATAAACAAAAAGAAGATAGGTTTATTTATTATTAATCGATTTTGATAAAATTAAAATAAATTTCATTATCTCAATAGTCATCAACTTCAACCATTAATTTGTTACAATTACTTTTACGAAACGTTTGGTTAAGCTATTTATTTATATCTCGTCGAGCTATCCCAGATTTTTAAAAAATCATGTTTCTAAGTCAATTTATTGCTGAGAAAATGTAAATTTAGCAAATTTTAACGTATGAAATCAGATACGCGCGAATTGCCGAGCGGCCTGATCTTTCCCACTCGACTGCGCGCCGGCTTCCCTCACTCCGCCCGGCGTACTGCTTCGCTCGCGTTCTTCAACTTTCCAATTGTTTTAAAACAAACTTTTTCGGTAGCAAAAAATTCGAGAATTTTTTAACAGCAAATTCCATTCTTCCTTGACAAATTGGTGCCAGACGGAACTCTTAATCTTGAAAATTAGAGCCACAGTGATTTTTTGAAAAAAATTGTTATCTCGGCTCCTAATAATTGGAGGGTAATCTTTTTTTTAAATTCGTAGAAAAATGTCAGATGTCGAATGCTTCACACGGCTATTTGATATGATGCATATTAACGGAATTATTCCATTTTTTTATACGACAAAAGATACCTACTTTTTAAAGTCATTTTATAATAGTTTAATTGCAAAAAAATCGTTTTGTTATTAAATGTACGTGATAGTGCAACTCTTGAAGAAGAAAAATCACCCCTGTAAATTGCTGTGCGACTGCTCAAAGATGAAGAAATTAAGTTTTCCGCAAACAGGTTTTTAGTGAACAAATGACTTTTTGTAAAAATTAATGAACATTTCAGGCTTGTTCAGGGCTAGATTTGTTCGTCATTACGCAGGCTCTATTTTACGAGAATTTCAAAGCTTTGCGTTTAAATCTCAATGAACAGAGAACGAGTGAAAAAAAGGCCTTTTTCGGTGTTTTTTATTTTTTTTCGACTGAACTAATACATCGATTTTAATGTTTTACGTCTCATTTTATAGGTATTTCGAATACCTACATTTTTTATACCAAACTTTTTTCCATACAATCAATATCTTTCGTTTTATAAGCGAAAAACGTGCTTTTTGCAACTATTCGATTTTTTTTCGGTTATTTTCTTTACAAGTCTCGAGTCTCAACATACGCATTTTTTTTCTGATGGCCTTTCAAGACTTTCGTGAAAAGAAATGCTGGTTTATAATTTTTTTCCGGTAAAATTCTACTTCTACTGAACTATTCAATTGCTACTCGAGTTTATGAAGGAGGGGTATACTATATAACGCGCATGAAAAATCGTAAACAATTAAATATCTTGTAAACTGTTACGTTTTAACATGATTTATACTATTCTGGATTAATGGGAGGGGTACACTATATTATTACAATTTATTAAAACTTATATTTTATTTAGAATGCCTCCCGCCTTTTATTGATGGGGCCACCGAGCGGCCGAGATTGCCGAGAAAGCATTTTCGGTCACTTGAAACCTTAGAACATATATAAATGGAAGAGGCATTGCCTATACTTCCCATGGCTCGCGCTGATGTAAACATCTGTGCGAAAGAGAAAGATAGTAAATGTTCCCAATGCGCATGCGCAGCATCACGTTTTACACATCTGTGTAATGTACGAATGTGTAAAAACACTAAAACAACTGCACAATTCACACAGATGACGGTGCTGCGCATGCGCATTGCGAACATTTATCCCTTTCTCTCTCGTACAGATGTGGCTTCACGTTCAGCGCCCTATGTCCCTTCCATTTATATATATTCTAAGCTTGAAACAAGCGACTAGTGTGAGAAGGAGCTCGCTCGTTCACTCTCGTCGCGCCGTAGGCGAGCACACGAACATGGGCTCATGCTTGTATGTGTGTTACAGCGCCGCATCACGAATAAATAACCAAGCTTATAAACGTGGAAAAATGACGTTTTGACGACGAAATTTATGTTGCATGCCATTTCGTTATTATTTGCTTAATTGTGAAAATGTGACTTGTCTCGTACTTTTCGAAGTCGTAATTATCGATGAAAACTAAAGTTATCTTGGAATTTTATATGTAAAAGCGTATATTTTACTTGTTTCAACAGCTGTCGGACCGTGGGTTTCTACCCGAATATAGGGTCACTTTACGTGCCTTTTACGACCATTTACTGACTGTCAAGGGAAGAAGGGATAGTTTTCATCGATTTTTACAAGTGTTTTAAAGCGATCTCGTCATTTCGTTTCATCCAAATTGTCTTTATTTAAAAACATAAATTAACGTGTCATTCCTCCTTCTGACGTCACGATTCCAACATGGCCACCGCGACTAGTCAGAAACCTTAAGCCATAATCACACTACAGGCTCCCGACTCTGACTGCCGACTTCCGACTCAAAGTCGATCGAATAGAGTGATTTCTATTCTTGAGTCGGCAGTCAGAATCGGCTGCTGCCTTGGGATCTGTGAAGCTAGCACGGCATTCTATCGATATCAAAAAAAGTACAACAGTTCCAGTAGCACTTTTCATAGTTCTACAGTTCTACCTAAAAATAATAAATAGTTCCGCACTTTTAATATGAAAAAAACAAGATTGAAAATATAGCGTGCTAACGTCGCGAATCTGGCATGTCAGTTTTCCTCTAAAGTACGAGAAAATGATATATATTTGCACTTTTAGCAACAGTTCCCGACAGTTCTACTCAAAATCTACTAAGATACGCAGTTTCAAAACAAAATACCAAAATTTAATAATTTCTAAACATCTTATATATAGAAAATAGCATAACACTTGAAAAAAAAGTGTCGTGCTGCCT